TACCTAACTTCAACAGATAATCATGGTATATACTAGTACAATACTATGCCAATATTCAAGTTTTGTTTGACATTTCATGATAAACATGCATAAATCGAAATACATCGTTACTGCACCATGCAGTACTAAACATGACATACGCTGGTCATAAACTACATGTTTGGTGACAACCACATAACAGTCAGGACATAAAACAATGTTGTTGGAGCAATGGATATCTAAAGAGCATCAACTGATTCAACTCCCGTGGGATCCCGTTATTACAGCAACGTAATAATGAAACATTGCCTAGAGCAATGTTGAGTGAGGATGATCTGTGCACTTCATTAAAAAATTCTCATTATTGCTGCACTGCATGAATACATTGCCATCATATTTCATTTTTTTACTCTGCACATTATTCCCCATGTCATTCATTAATGGCCAAGCAATATAACAACGTTTAGCATATAAAATTGTGACAAAACGCCTTTTCCTGGATACCAACGCCACCCTTACTCCCACTTGCATAAATATTGCATAGGTAAATATTTCAGCAATGTCAACTTAGCTTAAACCACCTACCTTGTTGATGTGTGGCTCAAGGGCACATATATGCTTCGCAATCATCATTCCTGCTTCACTGAACACGTGCCGACTGAGCATGTCACCTGTCTCTGTGGCAGCTGAAATTTTAAACATGAGAATATCAGGTAACATATAGCACAACATTTCACCACAATTATTAATACTGACGACTAGTTCAAAATGGAACAAAGGAAGCCTATCAACAACATGTGCAAGTTAATTAACATTTTTTATTTAGCACTGAAAAGAACTGCATGCATACATAATGTAAGATCATGCAGCTATAAATAGGCACAATTAGATTTAAATCATTAGCGTTCATTCAGTATTAATTAGGCTTATTAAAATTGCAGTTTATAGTTTTGTAAGAATATTATACAACCATATTTTAGACAGAATTATCAATGTTAGGTCTTGTAAAAATGCGATCCCAAAAAATTATACTGCATGTACAGTGTGTGTGCGTGCGTGTGCATGCATGCATGCACGTGTGTGTGCATGTGCGTGCGTGCACGCATGCACGTGTGTGTGCATATGTTCATCTGCGCTTACTAGTGTTTACTTGCATTAATAATGGTGCTTTTAGGGGAGATTGGTGGATTACCTAATTCTTTTGGGCAAAAACATTCTGTAGGAATTTATCTCCAATTATATAATGGTCGTCTATACGCGGTGTTTAATTATTTCATTCTTGTCATTCTCGACATTTTTCGTGGATGTCTGTCATGTTTGCGATGGCGCAGCAAGTTCCACAGCGTGTGCGCATGCAAAATCCCTCGATCTGCGTCGTGTGGAAAATATCACACGTGTTTGATATTTTCTTCCACGTGTAGAAGATTAGACGTTATAACGCGTATACGACGTTTAGGGGTACGCGTATACGACCTTTACGAGGTTAGACGCGTATAAACAGCGTGTGCGAGTGGCTGTGTAAATTTCCACACTCAATTCGCATTGTTCGCTTGGACGCATTGTATTTTTTTCTCAGCTCGCAGCTCGCATAGAGGCATGTCGAAGAACTGATCGATCAAACGTCGTCACGTGTGATCGATGATCGAAGAACTGATACTGATCGATAACAATAACTGATCGATCAAACTTCAACGACGCTCCGTGTCCAAGCGAACAATCAAGAACAAAGCATGGAAATTTACACAGTGTGTGGAAAATTATACAATGTGTGGAAAATTTACAGCCACTCCGCACACGCTGTTCAATCTTCCACATGTGGAAGAAAATATCAAACACGTGTGATATTTTCCACACGACGCAGATCGAGGGATTACAAACGTCCGTTGCCCCTGGGTTGCCCCTGCCCTAATCGTTAGCTGCTATACATCTTCAACAGGCTATATATACATTTATATATGTTATATAGGCCGTGGCTACGCGTCCTATTCAAATATGTGAACCCAACTATATTTTTTTCAGTAAAAAAACAAAATAAACAATAAGTTTTTACCATAATATTACTTACCTTTAGGTATTTTATCAAAAAAAATTGTTTTTGTAACTTTTGAAGCAATAGTAAATCCAGTAAAATCAACGATTTGAAAGGGGCGTGTGGCCAAATCGTGACGTGGATTTGGGAAACAGTGCTGAGCTTTGTAATGAATGACCGGACGCGTAGCCACTGTGTGTATATATATATATATATATATATCATCAAGTACATGGCGGACTGAAAGAAGCAGGTATGAAGCAGGACGTGAATGCTGCAAAATTTGCTAATTGGCAGTCTGTTTCTACCTCCTCCCTCTCTCGCAGCTCTCTGCTGTCCCTCCTCCTTGCGTCTCTTGGCTCGTTCTCCTCCTCCTTCCCCTCTTGCTCTCTGGCTCTCACGCGAGACCGTCACCCAAGGGGTACACATTCCGGCAGTACCCTGTGGACGATACAGGCACACTATGAGTGAGAGAGCACACCACACCACATCATCCGCGCGCGACGCAGTACCCACCCTGCCCATGGAGAATGTGAGTCCCCCTTCCATCACCACTCTGTCTCTGTTGGCTGGGGAGCTCTTCATACATCTTACTTGCTGCGAGCGAGGGAGCTTTCTATCTCTGCTTCTGAGGAGCTTTCTAATCTTTGTTGCTGGGGACTTCTAATCCTCTCGTGCTCGGGGACCTTGCCTATCAGTCCTGTTGCTGGGGACTTTCTATGCTCTGTTGCTGGGACCTTCTAATCTTACTGTGCTGGGAGCTTTCCTAATCGTCTGTTGCTGGGAACTCACTATCCAATCTAAACAGTTATAGTGTAGTTTACCCGTAGCTATTTAAATAGTGTGGTTTAATTATATACGTCACCACCCCTGAAATCTCCACAGTATTATGTGTGCTAATTAAGTTAGCTTAATTTTCCACAACATTTTATGCATTTCCCTTTATTCAAAATACTGGGCCG